CTGATAGTCCACCACCCCTCTTCACACACACACTTAAACCCGACTGATACTAGCTTCTCCCCAGCAATCTTCACTCAGATCTACATAGATCATTTATTGCTCTGTGTGAGTGCCAGGCCTAGGGCTTGAACTCAGGGCCTAGGCACTCTCTGTCCCTCAGGTTTTATGTTCAAGGCTAGCACTCTACCATGCAAGCCACAGCTCCACTTCTGGCATTTTTACTGGTTATAAGATAATAGTAAGATAAGGTATGAGTCTCCCTAACTTTCCTGCCCAGGTTCCTGCAGCCCCAGCTCTCAGGGTCCTGAGTAGCTATGACAACAGGAGAGAGCCGTCAGCACCTGGCCAGATCACTCATTTCCCACAAATAATGTCAGCAGGTCATAGTTTATGGATTCTGGTTATTCTTTTGATTTCATAACTGCTGCAAACTCTTCCTTTTTCCTGATGGAGCTCTGTGTATCCCTTTAACCACAACAGCAAGTACTAAGTAGGACATGCCAATGACATAACATCAAGAAATTATTTTATCAAAAAAAATCGTGGGTTTTATTTAAGAAAACTAAGCATCGGGAAGAACCGATGTTGGGAGACATCTTCTAACTGGCATTATTAGTTTTGTTTCCTCCAAGTAGCACCATTATCCTGGTCTCATTGTTTTGCAGACAGCAGTCCAAGTCATAACCCAGAAAATGTAGAAAAAGAATAAGTGGATGTCAGAAGCCTTCTAATATCTTCAGCCCCAGTCCAAGGTCAAGAGAGATGTGAGGGAGATGAAGATAAATGGAAGCACTTTCAACCAGCATCATAAAAACCCCTGCATGGGTGAGCTGGAGGAAGGCTTCCTAGTCAGGGTGGAGAGCGGGAAGTGCTCACCTTCGACCTAGCTTATTAGGGTTTGGAGACATAAAGCCCCAAAGTAAAGCGCAGATGAGGCTGTTAGCAATAAGTTTAGTCTTATCTTCTTCCCAGGTATTGGAAGTTGGAGGTTAATTTTCAGGTCCTCCTACATCCAAGAAGCGCCCACAGGAAGAACTCAGTCACATCCCAGGCTGGGTACTTAGCACCAGGCTGGGAGCTCCTCCAATGTGAAAAGCACATATATCTCCATTTGACACACATTTTCTTCAGTTCGGATTTATCTTGTACACTTCCCATCAGTGAGCATTTCTCCGTGCCTGCTATTGGCATTCGTTCCGCTCTTAGGAAAGTAAGAGGTGAACACCAGGGAAGTGCTTCCTTTCATCAAGGTCTATTTCTTTCCCTATTCCATGCTATTCTTTTCCCCCAAAATGCAATTTGTTGTGTAGTGGTTGTTCCGGTACCAGAGCTTGAACTTAGGGCCTTTTACTCTCACCCAGCTTTTTGCTCACATCTAGTGCTCTACAACTTGTGCCATACTTCCAGTATGTCATTTTGGTTGGAGATAGAAGCTCTTGGACTTTTCTGCCCAGGCTAGCTTCCAATCAGGATATTCAAATCTCAGACCTTCTGAGTAACTATCATTACTAGCATGAGCTCCCAGCACCAGACTCAAATTGTAATTTAACTACTGGAAATTTTCTAACTTACAAAAGAACTTTGTGCAATAAGATCTGTGAACTTTCCACTGAGACTTACCAACTGTTTTTTTCAACAGTGGTATTTCTGTTTTTCCTATGTTTACTTGGATTTTATTCTCTGAATTGTTTGGAAATAACATGAAAATATACAGGCTAAAATTCTTTAGCATATATCTCCTAAGAACTAGAACAGTCTGCCACACAATTACAATGTCATTATCTATCCTGACAGAACATTGTTCTTTATATGTTTCTATAGTATAAGAGCTAAAACAAATCATCCATTGGCTTTAGTTGTAGTGTTCGCTTACGCTCTTTCCTCTGTCATGGTCTTCCATGACCTTCACAGTTTTAATGAGTTCACAAAGCTGGTTTGTCTGCTGTCTCATATTTTTTGTCATTTCCCTCTGATTAGATTCAGGTCAAGTATTTCTTTTGCAGAAATCACCAGTTAGCATCCTATCAGACAGCATGTATCGTTTTTTCTTTTATTGATGATGTTCCTTGATCATTTGGCTAAGATCACTCTCGTACTTGTTTTTGTTTGAAATGAGAAGGCATGTGTATTGTGGTGCTTCGGTGCTATGGCAATATCCCGTTCGCCAACAGCATTTTAGTCAGTGATTGAACACCATTCATGGCGTTTTCGCCCTGACCCAGTCATACACGTGGCTACAGGCTACATTATGGTGATGTTTTGGCATCCTTTCCTATAGAAGTTGGTGTCTTTTGCTAAAAGAGATATTACTACGCCTACCTTTGGGAATTCTGTGCCACTGTGAGCATGCATGTGTGCCCTCTTGCTCCCCTCCCCCTCCTCCCTTCCTTTTGTCTTAAGGGGTTGAACCCAGGGGGCTCTCCTTGTTAGGCAAGTGTTCTAATGCTTGAGCCATATCCCTAGCTGGAGATTTTTTTTTATGATTATTCAATGTCTTACAATGGTTCTACTTCAGATTGCTCCAAATTGTCCCAACTTCTCTGTCCTTGTGACGTTCCTAAGTCCAGCTTTGAACACTGCCTCACAACTTTGTGGAACAAGATGTTTCGAACTCATCCTATACACTATGCCTGTCCTAGACTAGGATTCCAAACCGCTTTGGATGTGTTAGGGAAACAAGCGAGTCACTTGAAAATAGAAAAGAGAATTCATAATCCAGTCCCTGGCAGGTAAAGAGTCAGACACAGATGAGAAAGGGACATTTGAGGGGAGACTGGAAGGATACAACATGCTGAGAAAAGATTACGTTTATTACAGGAGGGGACCCATAAGATTATTTCATGGAGAAAGGAAATTCCTGGCTTATCCGAGGAATAGCAAGTTGCATGGAGGGGCTGCCAAACAGGAAGTGGTCAGATAGTGAGAGCCGTCCATACAGTGCCAAGACATGCAGGTGGGGCAGGACAGGGTGTGTTTTGTTTTGATTTGAATATTACCTGACCTTCAGTTAGATTCCATCATTTATTCTTTCTCATAGGGATGACCTCACAAGATATGGGATCTAGAGGACTGGGAAAGAGATTTAGAGGAAGGACTACAATCGGAAGATTATCTGTTACAAGTTCAGGCGGGAGTCTTACTTTATATGCCTTACAAAACATATAGTATACATTCTCTTGGTAATTTTAGGTAGGTTTGTTTAGGTGCTACATTTTCAGTTGTCTTTTCAACATCTTGTGTTTTTTTGGGGGGTGGGGGGGAGGGCACATGCCTGTGTGCGTACACACACATGCATGCACGTGCCAATAGTAGGGATTGAACTCAGAGTCTTACATTCTCATATGGCGTTTTGCTCAATGCTGGTGCTCTACCACTTGAGGCCCACCTCCACTTATGCCTTTTTGCTGGTTAATTAAAGATACAGTATCTGGGATTTGTCTGCTCAGGCTCTCTAAACCAAGATCCTCAGATCTCAGCCTCCTGAGTAATAGGTGTGAGCCTCCAACGCCTTGCTTAACCACTAGGATTATAATCTAATTGGTTTCCTGAAGTTTAAAAGACATCTGTCACCATTTCTACTTTAAAGTTAGAAGCCTACTGTCCATTGGGCTGGGACTCAGGAAGCCACTCAATGGGCACTTGGACTCTAATCTTGGACAGAGATGCTATCTCTATTGTTCACGTTATTGCGTGATTCCCCACCCCCACCCCTTGCCCCGGACCATCACTGGACCCTGGCCATGGAGCCATGGAGTATGTGCTGGTGTGGTTGTTGCCTCTGTTTAGAAACTTGATCTCACCAAGCCCAGGAGCCTGTTACTCTGAACTACGTATCAGGGAGACATTCATGTGAGATTCACTTGGTATCATAGAATGATGCTGCCCTTTCATGGCCTCAGTTTTGCATTGGTAAAAATGTTGACAACTATGAAAATGAAGTAACATGGATTTAATACAGAAACCCTGTGAACCGGTAACACTGATTTATCTATCATCCTGTAAGCCCGGTTCTGTATTTTGAAATCGTCTTCTCAAAATTTCCTCAGAAAGATGGCAGGCTCCCTCTAGTGGGAATGAGAGTTGTAACTGACTTTTTTTCCCCCTGAGCCACATAACTGGGTAAGAGAAAGAAGCAGCTTCTGCCTGACAGTGTGGGCTCTGTGGCATTTCTTTATTTTTCTATTGGAATTTTGCCAAGAAAAACATATCAGCCATTAAGAGCTGTTGCAGGAGAGCCAGGTTTTCGGCCGCTGGCTCCTCCAAGAGTGAAGGGCGCTGACTTGTTAGGAAACAAATATGTGCTTATATGTGGTTATTGTATGTTTATTTTTAAATTTATAAAAACATAAACTCTGATTGCATAAGCCTGTAAGGCTTCTACTTTGGTAACTAAGTCGTTTAATGGATTACATCTTGGCTTGCCCTCATTTTACAGCTCAATTTGACTTGCTGAAAATCCCACATCTCAAAATCTGCTCTGACCTTTGCACTCTCAATTTAATGCACAACAAATAAGCCAGAGTCACTGTGGCTTTTCCTCATGAGAAAAAAATAACCAGAAGCCCTTGCTTTAGTAGATTGTAGGCAATTAGCTTTCCCCTATCACTATTTATGAAGCTAAAACTATATCTTATAGGGTCTAATAACTTACGTAAAATCATTGAGGAAAAAATAAAGCTGTACTGGGGAAGGAACAGAAGTAAGCACATCACAGAGGTGAGTTTTAGTTTTATAATTATTACATGAAAAGAAAGAAACTTCTAATGAAGTTTACATTAATGGCAAAATACCCTCAAATGGGAAATGGCGCAATTAACTAACTTCAAAAAGAACGATGGTAGCAAGTTCAAAGTCTTCCTCATTTATTTCACCTATTCTAATTTTATATATCTGCTATTGAAGTATGGGAACTTAATTGCTTTCTGCTAACTGTTGACAAAGTCAGTCTACTCTGGAGCAAGGTACCTCTCACTAATCTGCGTGCTCCTTTTTTTCGACAGCAAATGATGAGCTTGGCTTTGGAACGCTGGTCAGTACCTCTAACACCTATGACGGGTCTGGTGTGGTGACTGTGGAAACTGATCATCCGCTCCTCTGGACCATGGCCATCAAAGACTAGCCTTCCCCACAGAGTCCATCAGCGCGCCTCTGCCTTATCTCACCTGCCAAAGGCTCGTTGCTCAACACAACGGTTCATCCGGGTTCACAGAAATCAAAACTTCGCTAGGGGAAGCCACCAGTTTGAAAGAAAATAACAACTGGAGATGGAGCTAAGTGGCAGAGAGGATGCTTGCCTAGCAGGCAGAAGCCGTGGGTTGAGGCCCTAGCAATGCAAAACTAATCATCATCATCATAATTGTAAAACACTGATAATGTTTAGATCATCCAGATAACACTATAGATAACAGATCTCTTTACAGTGAGGGAAAACAATTATGTGTCATGAAAGTGAATGAGCTCTGTTATATTCTCTTGGAAAGATAGCATGGATCATTTCAGTATAAAATTCAGAACTATTTTTTTAATCATTCCATTTCTTGGAAAATTGTCTTTAACTGTGAAACTAGGAATTAAAAACCTGTGCAGTTCCTCTTGGAGTCCTAGCACTTGCCAGTGTGCTTGTCAGGAAGGGCTAGCAGTGAGTATCTCTAATGCTGTCCTCTTCTATGGAATATGTATTATGCTTTATCTTTAAGAAAAAGTCTTCCAGATTGGTGTTGCAGAGCTGCAAGGTTTCACTCTGGTTTTGTAACTCTAGCACTGTCTCTCAAAAATAAATTGAGAATCAGCCAGGTGCTGCTCGCTCATGCCTGTAATCCTAGCTACTCAGGAAGCTGAGATCTGAGGATCAAGGTTCGAAGCCAGCCCAGGCAGAAAAGTCTTTGTGAGATTCTTATCTCCAATTAGCCACTCAAGAAACAGATGTGGTGCTGTAGCTCAAGTGATAGAGCACTAGCCTTGAACACAGAGAGACTAAAGATAGCATCCAGGCCCTGAGTTCAATCTCTATGACCAACAAAAATAAGGAAAGAGAGAGAGAGAGAAAAAGAGAGAGAGAGAATCATTGACCTAAATTGTTAGATTTGGAAACAGTACATAAGTACAGAGGCCATAGTGAATGATACATGATCATTCATGATGCCCTACTCACAGGCTAATACCCAGACTCAATGTAATTATGCTATGCTTTAGTGGGTTGACAGCCATTACCACTTAGACCAGAAAAGTTGGGAAGACAAAAATATATATATTTTTTTAACCTACCTCAGACTGAAAAAGTATATATACTGGTTCATCAGTCACAAGTGCTTTTACATGATCCGCAAATGAGTCTGTTTGTCGATATGGATAAATGAACATGGAATGCGGAGATACCAAGGCCTGTAGCCTGTGTTCTGCCCTGGCCACCACCCACCTGGGTTACCTGAACCCATCTCCTCGGCTGTAAAATGGAAAGGGTTGTACCGACCGCATCTGCGGCAGCCTTCCACACGCAAGTTCTAAGTGCGGATGCTGAGCAGGTGCAGGGGAGATAACACACTCAGTTACTGACACCGTGAGCTTGCGCAAACTGGTAAACATGCATTCATGTTGCTTTTTTGAGACACTCCTTGTATCTTCTTCCTAACCTTTCCTCCCCAAATCACTAGATCACATCTTGCCAAATACGCCACTCTTTACGCACTGCAATGCCTGAGTCTCAGAAGGACAATGACCAATAATGGCTTTCATCCTGGTGCTACAGCAGGGTGAGGCTCAGATTGTAAATAGAGAGTGAAAAGGGATCAAGTGAACTCGCATACAATTCTCAAGATTCATCAGAGATGATTTTTAGTTATTTTATGCCAGTATATGTGATACCAAAAACCTGGATGTCAAATAAAAATATTTCCTTACAATATGCATGTCTGTGGTCAGCTCCTAAGAAAACAATCCATTTTTATCATTTGTATTTCATTATGACTAAATTCTCATGATCAGTGTTTCCAAATTTAACATACTGGCTCAAAGGATGATTATTAGGCATATAATTCATAATCTTGATTATGACTTAAAATCTCTCAACTGATTTCAGATAGCAATCAGTGCTATTAATAGGTCCTTTCCCAATGAAGTGGGGAGGGGGTGGGGGAGTCAGATCACATAGACCAGGGGTTTATACTCATCTCATTAGACCCCTGTTGCTTCATCTATAAAAACAAAGATTGTGTGACGTATCTGTTCGCCTTGTAGGAGTCTTAGAAATGAAGGTAGGTAACTTGCACAAATATATGCCAGGGGAAAGACAATAGAGAGAATAACTACCACAGTGAAGAAAGTGAGAAAAGAACTCTGAGGATTAAGAAGAGACAGGAGGGGGTCGTATCTGCAGTGCTGCAGTTCCACTTGTAACTCCTGCATCTTGGCACAAATTCACTTGGCTGTATCTTCCATTCACATTGCCGACAGCTGGTTGGAAGCCAAGTAAAGAACGGTGGAAGCCCAGGCTCCTTCACTGAGCAGCTCCTTTCAGTATGAACCTACAGCAGAGAAACTCCTAAGACCTCCAAATGCTGCCCCAGACAACACCCACCGCAAAGGAAATGGCAAGGAAGGGAGTGGCCACGTCAGCGTGCATTCTCAGCACGGGCTATCCCTTCTGGTTCTGTTCTGGTTCACTGGCAGGTGAAGCTGGCATAGTTTCATCCCCAGTTGCAGAAAACCACTTACATATTCATCATGAGAAGTGACTTCATACCATTTAAAAGAAATAGGTCCAGTGGGTGTCGGTGGCTCACGCCTATCATCCTAGCTAGTCAGGAGGCTGAGATCTGACGAAAGCAGTTCAAATCAAGCCCAGGCGGGTAAGTCTGAGAACCTTATCTCTAATTATACACCCAGAAGCCTGAAGTGGAGGTATGGCTCAAGTGATAGTGCACTTGGGGTGGGGGTGAGGGGAGGGACACTCAAGGACAGCATCCAAGCTCTAAGTTCAAGTCCCGGGACCAGCACATAAGAAAGCAAGTAAAAAATAAATGGAATAGGTCCATTGTTTTAAATTTTCATTACCAAAGAATGCCTGTTGCATTTAAACTAAAAAAAACTTTGAGATTTTAATACATTTTAAAATATAAAGTCTTTCTCTGTGTGTGTGTGTGTGTGTGTGTGTGTGTGTGTGTGTGTGTGTGTGTATCTGAAATATTTGTGAACTCCAGGTGCTTTGAAGCAGATTCTATGCCACAACCTCAGAACTTTGCTGCAGACCCTGGACATTCACACTCACAGAAGGAATTCTCCTAAAGCATCCAGTAAAGTGTTAGGTACTGCTTGTTATTATGTGACTTTTTCCTTGGAACAACCAGATGATTTCCTATTTATATGCTCTCTCACTTTAACAAGTTTTTACTGTGTGTGTGTGTGTGTGTGTGTGTGCACACACGCACTCGCGCGCATGTGTGCACACACACTGGGCCTGGGGCTTGAACTCAAGGCCTAGGCGCTCTCCACCACTTGAGCCACACACACACTTCCAGCTTTTTGGAAATTAATTAGAGGTAAAAGCCTCACAGACTTTCCAGCCTTGGCTTCAAACTGCGATGCTCAGATCTCTGCCTTCTGAATAGCTAGGATTTACACATATGAGTCACCAGTGCCTGGCCATCTATTAGTTTTATAGTATCAACATGAGCCTGTGGCTCAGTACAGTTTTCAAACAAAGAGGAATGCTAGCTGAGCCCAGCTGGGGCCCAAGAATAAACTACCTTTGACCCTTTTGACTTCAATCAGCCTCTTTCCCTGGGTCATGTTTATAAATCTGAGTGAAACCCAAAATATCAGTAGGCTACCTAAATGGCTGATGAGAGAAAGCATGCTGTGATGCTACTCTTCAGGCACTGGGGAAGAAATGAAAAATGATTGCAGTCCAGTGGTTGCAGCCACAAGTGAGCTTGCATTCATGCCTTCCAAAGCTTTGCTTGGATTGCTGGAGTCAAGCAGCAATTGAAGTGAAGACAGAACACAGTGGAGAATAGACAGCAGAGGGCGCTGTGGTGGTAAGCAGATATGGTCTGAATGGTGACGTTTTTACTAATGGGAAGCAAAAAATAAATTTAATCTGTGACGCACATAAACACACACAATGAAACGAGCCTGCAGTATATTCTAATAATACTATCCTAAATTGGAAAACCACCTAGAAATAGATTTTAGGTGGAAAAGCATACCTTGGGGAGGAGCAAAATACCTAACGGTACTTTCTCCAAGTAATATGTGTGTGTGTGTGTGTGTGTGTGTGTGTGTGTGTGTGTGTGTGTGTGTGTGTGTGAGGGTTCTGCACTGAGCAGACACTAATGTCATAAATTTAGTATAATAACCATGTATTTTTTTAAAACCAATCCCTTGTGAACAATAACATTGAAACCGTGAAGTCTTCCACTTGTGAGATGGCCGAGCATATAGAACAGGTACCCTTCCCTGCCTGTGCCAAGCTTTCCCAGACTGAGCCTCAAAACTCATCTCGAAGTAGTCATCCAGGCAGACAGGATCCATTATTCTGTACTGGCTCAGAGCTTATGTGTGAGTTTCCCAGTATACACAAAACCGCTCTCTAACCCAGGAGAGAGCTTAGAGCCATATCACTGTTAATGGTAAGTAAATATATAAATGGATCAAAGGACTTACTCACTGTGGACTAAAAGCCAGGGCTTTGTGTACAGTGAAATGAAAACTTAATCTATCCCTGTGAATAACCTGAGAAACATAAACTGAACCCTGCGAACATCTCTCTGGCAAACCAAGAAACAAGGTAGATACTACAGAATGACTATTCCAAAGGCTGAAAAGGGCATAAATAATCAAAGAAACTGGTTAAATAGATTACAAACCATATATTTAGTTTTTAAAAATGCCTCCAAAACTCTAAAGACTTAGTGAATAATAGCCAGATATTTGTTTTAAAAAAGAAACTGTGACTAATAGTTTCTATAGGACTTGAATGACACAGCTACTTGTATGCTCAGTTGTTTACATTCTAATCCTCTCCTAGAATATAGAGCATGCACCTTGTCCTGTCACCTGCTCTGCCAGCCCCTGACTCCTACCACAGGGCCTTATCTGCAGCAAGAGTTCAGTGACAAGGACAACATGTGTAGGGCCATTGACACCAACCTCCCTCTGCCCTCCGTACCCTCCCCTGTGCAGAGGGAAATGCTGCAGGCTTGCCTAGTTCCTGGAAACCATTATGCTTTGCTTCCTTGGTCCATACTTCTCCAGTCTTTAGACACACAAATTCCTCTGTCCTACTCCTAGATTGGACAGTTACAACTTTATTCTCTCTCCTATCTGAAGAGGGACATAATGTTTCCCTGGGACACCCTCCAAGACAAACACTGAACAAGTCCAAAAGGAAATGCAAAAGACCATAGAGTTTTAAGTTGTTTGAAACAGATAGATAAAGGAAAGTGAGAGCCACAAGCAAGCAATGACAGGAGTTTGGGCTGCAAGAATCAGGGACAAGGGCTGGGAAGGTGGCTCAGTGGTAGAGTGCTTGCCTTGCATGCCTGAGGCCCTGTGTTCGATTCCTCAGCACCACATAAGCAAAAAGAAAAAAGCCGGAAGTGGCGCTGTGCCTCAAGAGGTAGAGTGCTAGCCTTGAGCTGAACTGCTGAGGGACAGCGCCCAGGCCCAGAGTTCAGGCCCCACAACCGGACCCCAAAAAAAATCAGGGACAAAGTAGATGTGAAGAATACAGTTAACCAGCCTGATTAACAGAAAGCTTCAAGAAAAATAAATAGAAGCAATAAGTATACATATTTTTCCAAGTTGGAAATCCTGAAGATAAGATGCTCAGGCAGGACCTAAATGAAGACAGAAAAAAAAACTGTGTACTATCTTCA